CATCTGAATATTCGGGATGGAGGTAGTTTCTGAGAGAGTGAGGACAACACAGGATGCACAGAAAATACAAAAAGCAGTCAGAACAGGAACAGTGTGTACTGGCAGCACATCCACAGGCTTAATAACGTGGGCAGGGAATATCGACCTAAGCAAAGCTGGAGGAAGAGAAGGGAAGCTGTAATGAGAGAGCTAGATTCTTACATCCAGTTGTAGGAAGGCCACAGTGGATCCAAACTGAAAGACTGAAGAAAACAATTTAAAGCTGTTAGGAAGAGACACGGAGGTCAGCACTAAGAGATTAAGGACGGATAGAGATAGATAGATAGATAGATAGATAGATAGATAGATAGATAGATAAATATCTTAAGTAGGGTTTTATTGTTGTGAGGAGACACCATGACCACGTCAACTCTTAAAAAGGAAAACATTTCATTGGAGTTGGCTGGCTTATAGGTCAGGGGTTTTGTCCATTATCATTATGGAAGGAGGCATGGTGGCATACAGGCAGACAATGCGCTTTTACATCTTGATCTGCAGGCAGCAGCAGCAGCAGACTGCATACAACACTGGGGGTAGCTTGAGCTTATAAGACCTCAAAGCCCTCCCGCACAGTGACACACTTCCCCCAACAAGGCCACACCTCCTAGTAGCGCCACTCTCTATGGGCCAAGTCTTTAGACACATGAGTCTATGAAGGCCATACCTATTTCAACCCACCACAGTGATTGAATCTTCATTTTCTTAATCAGAATTCTATACATGTATAAGCGTCTGACTCCCCATTTTCTCTCCTTCATGTCTTCCTCTCCTACTTTTCTCTCCCTACTTTGTGTGCTGTTTCTAAAACCACATGGAGTCCACTAAGTGTTGCCTGCACATATACATGTCACGTCCACCCTCGATCAGCAAGGAAAAACGCAACACCTGGAGCTCTTCTTGCAGTTTTCAGGACTTTATTCACAGCAATCTATCTCCTTCTCCTCTCTCTCCTTCCTCTCTCCTTGACCTCTCTCCGGGCAAACCTCTCCCAGCCCTTAAGTAGGCATGGGCTGCCAACCCCAAACTGCCAGGTGGGCACTGCCCATAGGTTCTTGCATATGCAAGAAGCTGATGATCATTGCGTGATCAGGCATAAGTCAGACTTTAGCCATAGGAGTTGATTATACATCTCCATCAGGTGTGACACCACGCAGCTCGCTACATGTACAGGTGTAGAACCATCTACTGGAGTGTAGGAGGCCTTTCAAGTGCCCCATCCCTGAAGAAAACTTATTCTCCTTCACACAGTAGCCACCAGTTGCCAATAGCAAGGGTGCAGGCCTTTCATGAACCCATGCTGGGATTTTGACAGGCTTGATCTTGTTCAGGTCTTGTGCAATTGCTATGACTTGACATACACAAGGGACCTGTCATGCTCAGCAAATGATACTGAAGATGTCCACTACCTGTGTGTGACTCACAAGCTTTCTCTCTCTTCCTTGACAATTCCTAAACCTTGGGGGAAATGAGATATGACATAAAGGTCCCATTCAGAGCTGAGCAATCCAGTTGCTTACTCCCTAGATGACTACCAGTTATAGATGGTTGTATTAATTACCATTTACTGCAAGTAGGTTCTCACAAACACCATTCTGTGAAGATGGAACTAGGAAACAAGCCAGTGCAGCTACTCTAACGTTGGTAAAATAAACTCCAGAGCCAAGCTAGTCAGGAGAGACAGGGCTGGCTACTTCATCCTCATCAAGGAGCAACCCACCTGGAGGATACTACAATGCTAAACACATTCTCACTGTGTTGATTAGTTTACGTAAACTTTACACAAACCTAGACATAGCTTGGAAGAAATCTCAACAGAGGAGCTGCCTTCATTAGACTGTCGAGTGGGCATATGTGAGGGGCATTTTCTTAACTAATGATTGATGTGGAAGGGCCCAGCTCACAACGAAAGGTGCCACTCCTGGGTGGATAGCAGGCTGAGCAAGCCATGAGGAATAAGCCAGTAAGCAGAGTCCCTGCCTTGATTTCCTACCCTGCCTTTCTCTAGTGCAGGACTGTGACCTATAACATGAAAGAAACCTTTTAGTCATGCTTATAGCAGTAGAAAGCAGAGTAGGACACCTACAAAATACAAGTACAACCAATTTCATAAAAGAAATACTATTAGACCTAAAACCCACAGAATAACCCCAACATAGCGATAGTGGGCGACTCTGATACTTCACTCTCACTATATCTGGATGAGGTCATCTGGACAAAAACTAAACAGAAATATTGAAGTCAAATAACATTATAAATCAAATGGACCTAACAGACATCTATAGAATATTCCACCTAAATACTAAAGAAATACACATTCTTCTTAGCAGCCCATGGAACTTTCTCTAAAACTGACCAGATGTTAGGACAAAAAATCTCAATAAATTTAGGAAAATCAAAATCATATCCTGTATTCTATCTGACCAAAATGGAAGAAAGCAAGATCTCAAAAATAACAGAAGCCGCAGAAAGCTCACAAACTCGTGGAAAGTAAGCAGCACAGTACTGGATGGGAGCCAGGGCAAGAAGAAATCAAGGAGGATATTTAAAAATCCGTACAGTTGAGTGAAAATGAAAATACAACATCCAAAAATCCATGAGACACAATGAAGGTAGACCTAAGACGAAGACTTACAATCCTAAAAAATTAAAAAGTTAGAGCTCTTAAATGAATAGTTTTAAAGATGAACTTGAAGGCCCTGGAAAAACAAAAACAAACACCACACACAAAACAGTACTAGGAAGAGGTATCAAAAAAAAATCAGGGCTCAAATTAATGAAAAAAAAAAAGAAAATAGAGTTGGTTATTTGAAAGATTAACCAGATGGACAAAGCTCTAGTGAAATTAACAAAATTAGAGATGAAAAGGGAGACATCATAACAGACATTAAGGAAACCTGGGGGAAGCAAAAGGACAGACTTTAAAAAAAAAACACGTATCAGGGGCTGGAGAGATGGCTCAGTGGTTAAGAGCACCAACTGCTCTTCCAGAGGCCCTGGGTTCAATTTCCAGCATCTGCATTGCAGCTCACAACTGTCTGTAGCTCCAGTTCCAGGGCACCCGGCACCCATGGCAAAACACCAATGCACATAAACAAACAAACAAACAGTTCTACTGTTTTATTTTAAAGCAGTAGAAACTTTAAAAAACACAGCGCTCTTCCGCAACTAAGAGTATACCACTCTACAGCAGACATTCAAACAGAAACACACACCATTACTTTGCACTCAAACCAGAACACAATGCACCATAGTCCATGCACTTTTCTTTAAGGAACTGCACGCCAGGCTGACAGAAGCACAAGCGAGACCGTGAGCTGTGCCTGCCAGTGGTGCTTGTTTTGCAATGCCCACATCATTTCTGGAACATGCCACTTTCATGGTACATTGATATAGAAAGTCTTAGAAAAACCAAATTATTTCGAGTAGCCCTTTTAGTCCTCAAGGTGAGACCAATGTGGTAACTCTCATGAAGCCATGTGGAGCCACACAGGCAGGGACTTGCTAAAGCCAGATGCTCCCTAAGGAAGAGCAAGTCGCTTGTCATGAAGCCTGGCTGCCTCTTGGCTTCCTAATTCACGTCTTGTTGCTGTGCCTCTCTTCACCACTAAAGTCACACTCATCTGTACCTCACGCTTTCGAAATCCCCTTCTTCCAAGAAGTCCCCCCAGACTTGTTGGAAGTTGTCTCTGGGCTCCCTCATTTGGGTATGGGGATTTTATACCACTCCTCTCCACTCCCTGTACCATCAAAGTGTTCACATGCTCTGAGCTGTGGCCCCAGTGAAGGACGACAAAAACTCTGCTGGACTGGGAGGAAGAAGTGGGTTGTGGTGAAGCTCAGGGCCAGGAAACAAGAAGGTTGTAAGTGCAAGCGTGGGTCTCCAGCCACCTCCCAGCCTTAGAGTCTCAGAAGGAACTCGCCCCTCGCTAGGCCTGCCTGAGGCAGTCCTAACCAGTGTCTGGGATGGAGTCACTTAGTGTCCACAAACACAGTATAAACAACAATAATAAACAATAAACTCAATAATTTATTTTCAATATAAAAATTAGAAATAAACACACAGTATAAAACAGAGAACTCAAGGTTTTATTTTGAATATTAAAATTAGAAATATAAACAATTACAGAGTTAATAAAAATGTTGAAGAAAAGACACTTAGATTTGAGTATTGAATTTATTAAGTATTTAAAATAATAAATCATTCCATACTTCCATTTTGGGATTGAGTTTGGCTGTTACCTATAATACTGGTGTACCGAGAGACACTGCTGTATACACGTATCAGCCTTACCAACCAACACACATGCGAATGATTACGTCTGTGGCAGACACTCACTGACCTCAATCCTCCATATTGTGCGCACACTGTGCTCTGAATTCCGTGAACTAAGATGACAGATGACTTCTGTCTTCTGAAAGAGAGGCTCCTACACTATCCCTACGTCATTTTGAAAAGTGAAGCACAACTGAAGCCAAGGGTAGGATGGAGTGAGGTGAAAGAGCCGCTTGCAGGTCACAGTGACCCGAATCTACTTTGCAGGCCAGTCAGCAGTGAGTCACTGCTCAATGCTTGGTGACCCGAGGGCACCTCCAATCTTTACAAAACAGCCTGTGTCTTTCCAGCTAGGGAGCAAGACACTCCAAAGGGTGGGAAGTAGCAGAAAGGAGTGGCCTGCTGAGGGGAAGGAGTGCTACCTTCCCCAGGAGCTGCCTTTGTCCTTAGGTTGCAGTGTAGACCACAAGGCTTCCACAGGGCCTGTGGGTATGAAGGGGCCTCTATGTGCAGGTCCTTGTGAGCCCTCACCACACCAGTGCACACTGACAGATCAACTTCAGTGTGTAGCACTGGGAAAATTAAAGTCAGACTATAAAATTCAGATCATTTATGGCCATCTGCATCACAAATTATCCAAAATTTAACATTTTTTATATGTAGATACTATATTTTTCTAAAAAAAAAAAAAAAAAAAAAAAAAACCAAAAACAAAACAAACCAAACCTAGGAACCTTAGAGCGAGTTGTATGAAACGATGATTTTTAGGTTTTGGGCACAGCTCCAAAGCTGTGACTTTAAATCTCTTCTCGAATGCCTCACCTGGACTGGAGATTGCCAACACCGAGGCAGTAAACAGGTGCTTAGAACTGCATTCATTTACACCACGGGCCACTCCAGAACACTCTAGAGAAGTCCCCTGAAGCTCACACCATACAACATTTAGTCAAGAAAAAACAATTAGAAGAGTATGCTATGTAGCCTTACTGGACCAAAGCTAATAACAATAAAAACTGTTTGTGCACATTATGATAGGGTTGTTTAAATAGGCTGAAATTAAATATCCACCAACATCTTTCTGTGCCACCATAAAGGGGAAAAGAGAAATTAAACGCAGTGCTTGGACATGGGCTAGCCCGCTGGCACAGGAAGAGGACGGTCTCACGCTGGCTGTCTCTGGATGCTCTTCCTCCACAGGCAGCTATGTTTTCATCATGGTTGGGGATGCAGCTTGGAAACAGGCGAGCTGCAAGTGCATACTGCTCTTGAACTTGTTGAGTAGCTCTTCTAGTAACCTAAAGGGAGGAGAGAGCTTAACATTCTGACAGTACAGGTCTGTGCTCGCTGTATGCCAACTGGACACAAACTGTAGTCATGAGAGGAGGGAACCTCAATGCGAAAATGCTGTCAGAAGTAGGCAAGCCTGTAAGACATTTTCTAAATTACTGACTGATGGAAGAAGGCCTTACCCACTGTGGGTGGTGCTATCCCTGGGCTGGTGGTCCTGGGTTCTGTAAGAAAGAAGGCTGAGCAAGCCATGAGGAGCAAGCAAGTAAGCAGCACCGCTCCATGGCCTCTGACTCAGCTCCTGCCTCCAGGTTTCTACTCCACATGGGTTCCTGCCCTGATTTCAACGATGAACAATGGTGTAAAATTATACGACAAATAAACCCTTCCCCCCACATTGCTCAGTCATGTGTTTCATCATAGCAATAGTAACTCTAACTCAGAAAAGGGATTGTCTTAGTTTGCTTTTCTGGTACTGTGATCTAACACCACGGCCAAAAGTAACTTGGAGAGATTAATCTTGATTACAGGTTACAGGTCCATCCTCATCTGGGGAACCAAGGCAGAAACTCAAGGCAGGAGTTTGGAGAAGAAAGCACAGAGGGATGGTGTTTACTGGTTTGATGTCAGGCCCCCAGTAAGCCACCTTTCTTACACAGGCCCGGCCCACCTGCCTAGGGACGGTGCAGTGCACAGTGGACATCCATTAGCAATCAAGAAAATGCCTCTCAGACAGGCTATGGGCCAATGTGGTAGGGGCAATTACTCAACAGAGGTCCTGCTTTCCCTGGCTGTCAAGTTGACAATGAAGAATAGCCAGCACGCTAGCTTAGCAACTCAGCAAATATGTAGGGAGCTGGGGCCCAGGTCTGACTACCATGCTGTGTTCTGAAGTCATTGTCTTTGGGATCTTAATCAGTAGCAGAAATATCTCAACCAAAAAGAAAGGGGCTGCTCAAAGAATACAATAATATACAAGTCTATGTTTTTCTTCAGTTATTCTCTTGATACTCCTTCTCTAGAGTCCTTCCTAGAACAGGATAATACTTAGGCCTACTCTCTAATAATTACCCTAACAATCAAGAAAAACTAAAACTTACTTTTTGTTTTCAGTTCTGTGACTGTCAGCAAGCACACAGCGTAAGACGGTTCCAGGGACACGGCTTTCTTTCACTCTACTCATTAAAATTTTCATTTCACTTTATTTATTATTATTGCCTGTGTTGGGGGTGGGCCTGCATGCCACGGCACACATGTGGAAATGAGAGATCAACTCTGTGGTGAGCCTGGCACTGTGTGTTTCCCCAAGCAAAGGCAGGTGGACTTTAACTAGGAACGGTGACAGAGCAAAGAGCTACAGGGTCTCCACGGCCTAAGCTGAGGCTAGACTGGACATTTACAAAAGGTGCCTGGCCTAGACTTCCCCTCAGGTCACAATTTCCTGTGACACGAAGTGTAAAGTTTAAATTGAGGCCATGCTCATTAATGTAGCGATGTCAGAGCTGTTCTGGGCCATGTTTGCGGCTTGTCTAATGGTGAGTTTCATAGACGTCAAAGCCAGTGGATGGTCCTGATCTCTCTTCTTCACACAGAAGTTGCTGACTAAGTCAAACGGCTTTCCTAGATTCTCTGTACTTGTCACTTAAAGCTGTAAGCCAAACCTAAAAGACAGAATTCATCCTGTCACTTGGAAGATAAGCGAGGCCTGGGTAGCCTAGTATACCGTATTCCAGGTGAGCCTGCACTCTCCTAACACCTGAGCGAACCTCTCTCAGACTCTTCAGACACTTTGGCTACCAGAGCTTGTGCAGTTCAGCCAGTGGGCTCAGGAGAGCACCCAGAACTTACTTTTTGTCTGCGCCACTTGCAAGTTGAGGCAGGGCTTCCAGGGCCTGTTTAAAACTAGATCTGAAACACAAAAAGCACACCAGTCAGACAGCCAACAGTTCTGAGCAGCCTGTTAGGGGGATCACTGTAAACATGCCTAAGCTCATTTTAGATAGAGACAGACACTAATGGAGGCCAGTGACATAAGCAGAGAGGACTGAGAAAAAGTAAAAGTGAAAAACAACAGGAAAAGAAAAAGGGAAAGTAAGGCTATAGTGAGCAGGCTGGCAGGGCTTCAGGGGCAGGGCCAAAGAGATACAGCCAGGAAGTGGACCCTGACCCAGACAATGGGAGGCTGCTCAGGAGCGGTGAGGCTGGTGTGACTGTGCAGAGCCCAGGGCAAGCGGGGAGGGGGGCAGCTCTAGCTAGAGCAGCTGTGAGGGCAGGAAGGCAGTAAGGAGAGGCAGGACAGGTCTAGATCTGTGCTCAGGACAGTCGCAGCGTTGACAGGGCCCACTTTACAGCTAAACCTTCTCAAAGTGGACACTGGGGGACAGCTTCTAGTTCTTATTAGAATTAACATGGACAGGAAAGGAAGATGTTTACACGAGAAAGGGAAAATGAACGACCTGAAGAACTACTTACTTAGTAGTTTAGTTTTTCTCAAGTAGAGAGTACCAGAGGGATTACTGAGAGGGGTGAGGCTTATATTGGAGAACGTAGAATAATACCTATTGCTTCTGAGAATAGTTTTGAACTTTTCATGTCCTCTACTTTTCTAGTGGAGTTGAAGAAATACATGTAATCACTACTGATCAAGGAGGTCTTCGATCTTGTATGAAAACCGACCAGGACATGAACGTCCGAACCATGTATCTTAAACTAAGGGGACGCGAACAGAATGAGATTCCTAACAGAATCCTAAAGACGCCTCTGGGAATCCTCCATGGTCCCCAGTTGAGCAGCTTGTGGGTGGGGACAGTGTCTGTTGGCACATTAGGCTGCCTTTCCCTGTCCAGTGGGCTCTCCTCTTTCCTGCGGAAGAGGGAAGTCCCTTCTATCATCTCTACCACATCTTGTTCCCCATAGGGCTGGATTAACTGAAACAAACACACTGCTTTATTGTTCTTTGTTGTCAGGACAAAATGACGGTGATGAAAATGAAGGGCATTCTATTATTTGTAGGACACTCACAGCTTTGAGGGTGACCTGACACATGCTATGAAGCTCACAATTCTGTGTAGGAGTTCACAGGATGAGTGTCTCTAATCTGAAATCCAACGTGATCCAAGATTTAAAATGTTTAGAGCACCAACAGGATGGGAAGTTCCATATCAAACATTACATTACTTCTCTTTTTCATTTTATTTTATGTGCAGGGGTGATGTGGGATGCCCTTCTGTAGGCTGTGAATATGCCTTATTATCATTGGCTAATAAAGAAGCTGATTTGGTCAACATCCAGGCAGAACAGAGCCAGGGGGAAAATCCAAGCGGAGATACATGGAAAAAGAAGACAGAGTTGGAGGGATGGACAACATCAAAGGCCACCAAAGGAGAAAGATGTTAGTCAGAGCATTACCAGTAAGCCATGGCTACATGGCAATACATAGGTTAGTAAAAAATCCTGTCTCGAAAAACCAGACAAAAAAGGGCGGTGTAGTTAATTTAAGTTGTAATAGCTAGTTAGTAAAAGTCTGAGCTAATAGGCCAAACATTTTTTTTTTTTTTTAGGTCAAACATTTTGTAGTTAATATTAAACCTCAGAGTGGTTATTCGGGAACTGGTGGGCGGGAGAGAAACCTCTAGTTACACGTGGGTATTTTGCCTGCATGTATGTCTGAATTCCACATGCATGACTAACGGGTGTGGAGGGCAAGAGAGGGCACTGGGTTCTCTGGGACTGAGCTGCAGACAGTTTGAGCCACCATGTAAGTTCCGGGACTCAAACTGAGGTCCTCTGGCACATCTGCCAGTGCTCTTAACCACGGAGCCACCTCTCCAGGCCCTCAATCATTAGGTGATCAAGAACTGTATTAAATTACCTTTAGTCATGTGTTTGGAAATAACGAAACTTAAATAAATTCCTTGTTTAGACCTGAGTTCCATCTCCAAGATAACTCTTTGTGTATCATGAATATTTTAACACAGACACACAAAACCTAAAATTAAATATGCTTCTGTTCCGGGGTATTTTGGATACAGGATACTCAATTTGTATTATCTTGAACTTAGGTTCCAAAAGGTTAAGTCCAGGGGATAAACAGGCAATAGGGATGGACTGAGTACTTCCAATTGTCTGTACCATTTTAGGCGGGAAAAGGACTGGTTGGGAAAAAGTGTATTTAAACAATGAACACAGGAACCAACTTGAAATAGTTTGTGGTACACCATGGCAGGAAGGAAGAAGACAATTTTACCTGTTAAGAAAATAATGAGCATTTTCAGCTGTACCGGTGACAGCCAGGCTACCGAAGGCCAGAGATGAATGAGCGGTGTCCCGCAGTGTCCTCGTGCTCACAGCACAGACTGACTTCCCGGGCAATGCTGTGACTGTGGCAAACATTCTGCGCACGTGGGCAGTAGGTCTGCTCACTTCAACTACAGATGTCTCAATAGTAGGAAATCCTGACTTTCATTCAAAACAACTAAAAGTTACCGTCAAATTTCCACTACAAGACTCTGCAAAGAAACCACAGGCTTCCTCTTACGCTGGTATTTACAACACTCAAACTGTCCATCAAATCTGGTGAAGATTTAATTTTTTTGTCTTTCTTTTTAAAAGAGTATGTCATACTTGGCCATATTACTTAAAAGATTAAGTTATATAAGCAATGAATGAAAAAGATCACATTAAATTTACGATGTGCTCTACAGAAGTGGCCTTGAGAGTCACTGTCTTGTAGGTTTGTACTTTTGAGTAAAAATTTCTAATGAAATATCAAATTTATTGCAATGCAAATTTATGAGTATATCTGCACAGAGGACACAGTACCTGAGTAAAGCAATCTTGATGTAAAAAGAACTGGGCAGCAACACTCAGCATCTCACCTGCTTTCCGGGGTCAGGTAAATGGCTACGGTGTCTCTCAGAGCACAGATTTCAAGTCTTGCCTAAAGATGGGAAAAAGGTAAGAGTGACAAGCGTCAGTTACCAAGCGACAGCAAGTGCTGAGGAGATGGTCTGAAGCCTGCTTACTGTAGGCCAGGCTGGCCAGAACAACAACACAATGACAACATGCTAGAAAAGACTCTCAAAGAACAGCACTAACATACCAGCGTGTCCCCAACCCTGCTGTGAAAAACGACTGTGTGGGCAGGGGATGGACATACTGCATGAGAATTACCAGCTTACTAGTATTTGCCTTTTAGTTTGGTTGTGTGTGTGTGTGTGTGTGGGGGTACAGAAACATTAGCCTGATTGGCTGGCCTTGCTTCCTGGCACCTATATCCTTTCATGTATAGTCTCTTCTACAATAAAACCAAGCTCTACAAAGCCAATACCATCTTTGTTAAATTCATGGATGAACTTTGAGAAAAAACGCAAACTGACAAGTCAGGTATAGTCTCTTCTACAATAAAACCAAGCTCTACAAAGTCAATACCATCTTTGTTAAATTCATGGATGAACTTTGAGAAAAAATGCAAACTGACAAGTTAATCCTAAAATTCACGTGGAAATGTGAAAATGATGTTGGAAACAACTACAGTTTGGAAGCCGCACATTTTCTGATTTCAAACATTCACATAGCAAGCATGTCGGTGTGGCTCCACACATGGACAAGCATGGAGCTCGTACTGCAGAATGAGAGCCAACCGACTTCAACAAGGGTCCCAAACCATTCAAAAGGGAAAACATGCATTCAGTGAACAGAAACAGCACAACTGGAGCTCTACATGAAAGAATGAAGCCCAAGCCACTCTTAACATAACTCAAAACAGACCACAGGCAGACCTAAATGTAAAACCAACAATGGATTATTAACTCTCAGAAGAAACAGCAATAAGTTTTTGTGACTTCAGCAAGACTTCTAGGAAAATATAGAAAGTACCAGAAACCAAGTGGAAATCAGCTGGACTTCATCAAAGGAAGCACAGCTACTCAGCAGAGATGCCACGGGGAAAGTGAGACCACAGCTCACAGAACAAGACACCCGTTCACAGTCAGGACGATGGCCAAAGTCCATAGGGTGGTTTGCTAACGAGTGTTGATAAGGCAAGGGGGTAACAAAAGGCCTTGTTAATGGCTGTCGGGTGGACGGCAGTGTCGCTGCTTAGGAAGACACTGTGGCGCTTCTGATGATGAGATGATGTGCACCAACACTCTCACTGGGCCACACACCAACCTTTGTTCTTTCTATCTGGAGAGTCTTGCTGAATTGCCAGGCTGCCCTTGAACTCATTGTACAGACCACATAAACCCTGACTTGCCATCTTCCTGTCTCGGCCTCTGGAGGAGCTGGGACTGCAGGTGTGACCACCATGCCCAGCAGTAGATAATCCTTACTTCAAGTTTCCTAGTCTGAGGCGGGCTGGTCAGAGTGGAATCTGACCACGCACACACGTCTACGGGATCAGCCAGGAATGTGGGCAGTGTGCACGCAGAGCTGCAGTGTTGCTCCCTGGAACACTTGCCTGTGTTTGGGGCTGCTCCAAATTCTCAACCACAAAGATGGGAAGGTTTGTACTGAAGTGGGACAACTTCCATGCTAAAAACCTAAAAAAACTGCGAAATTTACTAAAGTTCCATTTCTTCCAGTCTATTCCCTCAACGCCAGTTTGTTCTTTGATATCGACTGTGGTGCTTACTTAAACAGACATGTTACGTTTGCGAGTGGTAACTGCAGCAGGCAGGCCTGAGAAAGCTTCAACTACCAGCTGAGAAACTGCGACTATGCTGTTTTAGTGTGTGTATATGCAAGCACATGTGTGTTTTACTGAAGAGTGAACCTCCAGGGTCTCATACAAGCAAGCACATCTTACACCACAAAACTACACCCACATCCCACCACTGCTTCTTCAAATGCACACCCACTGTCTCAATGCACAGGAAGCTCACAAGCAGGCCCTGTCCCGTGTCCTAACAGATACCTCGCTGAGGAGGAGGAGACGACCAGCGCTAGATGCTCTGGAAAGACATGGAAGGACCATGGGTCCGTGCTCGAAGAGTTTTATAAAACTCTTGTTCTGAGCCGGGCGGTGGTGGTGCATGCCTTTAATCCCAGCACTTGGGAGGCAGAGGCAGACGGATCTCTGTGAGTTCGAGGCCAGCCTGGTCTACAAGAGCTAGTTCCGGGACAGGCACCAAAGCTACAGAGAAACCCTGTCTCGAAAAAAAAAAAAAAAAAAAAAAAAAAAAACCCTCTTGTTCTGTTTTAATTCCTGACATAGAACCTCTGGGAACTGCAGACAACACACACAGTGTGTATGTGTGTGCATGCACAGTAGGTATATGTGTTTGTGTGCTGAACAGTAGCTATGGCTTGTGGGTGTGTATGTATACATGTGTTGTGTGTGTGTATATGCCTGTGAAATTAGCAGGGGCATTGGAAATACTGGCTGTGTCTACAAGGCAGGTAGTTAACACACCGTTGCCTATTTATAAACAAATTTCTCTTGAAACTGAAGGACTGGGTACCTGCAGCGCTCCATTTCTGCTGAAGGAAGATACACACTGCATCAGCCGGCTCAGCTCTTCAGAGACTGCTTCTATCACCCTGGACAGGACCCGGGGCACCAGTTCTTTGGAAACAGTGAACACCTGATGGAAGGTTTGGAATAAGAAGCAGCGCATTACACATACTTTTCCTGGCTCCTGTCTGTCAAAACAAAGGCTTCTGTCTGTAAAAACACAGTAATAAGTAAAACAACAAATCGTTGAAGTTTTCTAATATAAAAATTAAAAATATCAAAGTTATGAATGGAAGATAAATAAAATTCAGCTTTTAAAATTTATTTTTTGTGTATATGTATTTTGCCTTACAGAAGTATGTATACCACATGTATGTCTGGTGCCTGTGGAGCTCAGAAAAGGGCATTAAATGTCCTGAGATTGGAGTTACCAGTGGTTATGAGCCACCATACGGGTCTGGGGTCAAACCTTGGCCTTCCATAAGAGCCACAAGTGCTTTTAACTTCTGAGCCACCTCTCCAGCCCCCAGACATACACTTTGGATACATTTACTGATTAGTGACAAATACAGCTTAAAAAAAGTATTGCAGATGTTGACTAAAATTTATTTTGAAAATTTTGTCTTTTTTTTTTTTTTTTCCGAGACAGGGTTTCTCTGTAGCGTTGGAGCCTGCCCAGGAACTAACTCTTGTAGACCAGGCTAGCCTCGAGGTCACAGAGATTTGCCTGTCTCTACCTTCCCAGTGCTGGGATTAAGGGTGTGCGCCACTACTGCCCAGAGAAAATTGTATTTCTTTTAACGTCCCTTTTATAAGAATCAAAATTTCTAAAAGGGATAAAACCTCTGGGTTGGTATTTGCTCAATTTAAAAAGATTAAGTGGTGTGCATCTGCTGGCCCGGCTGCTCACACAGGGGATCGGGAAGAGCTGCAAGCCAGGAGTGTGAGTCTGGCTTGGGCAACACAGGGAGACCCTGTGTCTTGTAAACAAATGTGTTTCATTATCTGTAACGATGAACATTCTAGTTCTTTTGTGTGCTAGAAATACATTATTTCTTTTCATCTGACATACAACATTGTTCAATTTTAAGCACACACACACACATACACACACACACACTTTGGCGTGCATATGGAGGTCAGGAGATCACTTAGAGGAATTGGTTCTCTCACTATGTGGATTTTGGGGATCAAACTCAGTCCATTGGACTTTGCAATAAGTGCTTTTCTCTTGGTGGACCTATTTCAAATTTTAACATTTGACAAAGTTATATCTGGAGGTTTAGTATTCACCAATTAAAGTATGTTTTCTCTTTACCTTTGCCTGTTCCCAGTTTGAGGGGCTAGTGTTAATTAAACATTCCTGTCAACACAAACAATTTGAACATTCGACAAAAATTTTGGCAATTTAAGCTATTATTACAAATGGTAGCCCTGGTGAACTTCTACTTTGGGTCACTGGACTGAAAAGGGACTTGAAAGATAATTAAATAACTTCACAGCTACTGATACGGCCAATAGCCAACCTTCAAGACAGAACCAGAGTGACCCTTACAGTCGTTATGTCTGCAGTTTCTTGCTCTCTGCACACAGGGTGCTCCTAAAATGCTTGAATCTTAAAAGAAACGAACACAAGAATTATCTCATATGTTTAATAAAATTACAGAGATCTATGAGACCAATCCCTGCCAGAGTTAAATCACATATGATCTTTCTTTCTAGAGAGATGCTCACAAGTGTCTTTCCTAAGAAGTGCAGCGTTAGGAGGCAACATCACTCCTGTTTCCTCTGATTGCTCTGTTCTTCTGTTTTTGATGTCCTTATCCCTGTTTTTCCGGATACCATGATGGCCTACAAACTTCTAGATGGAGAAGCCATAAACACACCTGCGTGGTGCCTACAGCTAAGCGGAGGAGACATCTGACCCCCAGTGCTGTCTTGGCCTTAATTTAGTCTATGGCTTCCCACCATTCTGTGAGCAAACCTTAGAGTGCTGGTCACAAAGCCTGCAATAGACTGAGCTCACTGCATGAAAATACGGCAGCAATGGTGGTTGTGGCACCAATGGTGGTAGCTTGTTTTCCCATGTGCCTTGGAAGAGTGACTCTCACTCCTAGGATGTCCAGTAAGGATGCCTACATGATGCTTCAGATGATAACTGTGGGGGACAGCTTGTGTGAACCAAAGGGAAGCAATATCCACACACAAGTGATTCACTAGCTTCAGTGTTTAGGCTCACAGAAGAAAGACATGTACAATTTCAGAAAACACTAAGTTACACACAGACACACATATGCACAGGCACACACAAAGACACATGCACACACAGAGACAAGCACAAGCACTGCACACAGACACACAACATATACAGATGCACATACATATGAACATGCACACATATAACCATACCCACGCATCATGCACACAGATGCACATATAAATAACATACATGTACATACACACATGCACGCAGACACAGCCATATATAAGAAAGCTGATCTCTATTTTACTTATATGCCCAAGATACATTCTGAAGGGGGAAAAGAGACCCCTCTTATGAATAATAATCGAATTTGCTTCTTTTTCTTTCTTCCCCCTCAATTACCTACTTTTGTAGGAACAGTTAATGACAGCTTACCTCTGCGTGCACAGCAATTATGTTCACCAACGCTTCTTTTAAATAGTTTCTGACACCTGAAATCAAGATGGGGGAGGGAAAGGCACTCATGAAATCCTCAGCCAGCCTCTCCCCTGCAGCATCAGCATGCAACTGCCAGAGTGGTCTAGGGAAACTGAAAATAACACCATTACTGTCCATTTCCTTCTGAGAGAGACCGGTGAGAGGACTATTTCCAGAGAGGGGAAAACAGAACAGTGTGAATGAGAAATTTTCTTTCACTCTTTTTCATTCTTATGACTGTTTGCTCCGAGTTTACTATCGGTTGGTCTCAGAACCAAAACTTTAAAATGTCCTCCTATTTCACATGCATATCAGAGAACGTGCAGCAGACAAGAGCGGGGAGCTGGAGTCTGGAAGATGCATGTTGGACGTCTATCGCAGCATTACACAGAAGGAAGTTTAGATTCTGAGGAATCACTATTTTTCCTGTGTGTATATGTGTTTATTTGTACCATGACCGTGCAGGTGCCTGCTGAGACTGGAGGGCTAGAGAGCATCAGATCCACTAGAACTGGAGTTACAGGCAGCTGTGAACCACAGGGTATGGATTCTCTGTAAGAACAGTAAGTGTCCTAAACTGCTGAGCCATCTTTCTAGCCCATGAATGACTTTCAAAGAAGAAAACCTTAAGGTCTGGGAGATCACTCAGTGGGGAAGTACTGGCTGTGCGAGCATGAAGGCAGGAGCTTGAAACCCAAACACCCATGTAAAACCCTGGGCTGAGCAAGGCTTTTTGTGCCTTTAACCTCAGTTCTGTGGGGGTGGAAACGTGAGGATCGCTGGGGTTTCCTGGATGCCAGCCTAGCTCCAGGTACAGTGATAGACTCTGACTCAAGCAAGTAAGGCAAAGAGTGACAGAACAGGATTCATAGGTGTGTGCAACCCTCGTCCATGTGCCCATGTAGCCCACTACACACAAGAAAAGCTTGTTACAAAATTAATTAAACCTGATCCTATAAGCAAGTTAAAGATTGGACAAAATAAAGACATCAGACTGTGGGGCCTGAGCTAATGAGCACAGCTCCAGTTGAGAGCAGCACCCAGCTTACGGGTGCAGAGAGTGTGGTCACAGCGCTCTGAACAAGCTACCGTCTAGCTGTGACTTTGGTGAGGAAGCCTTCCCACGTGTCGAGCGAGTATAGATTTTGCAGCTCTTCTGCCAGACTGCAGTGAGGATTAACGGTGACCACACATGCACATCACTATGCTCCTTAAGAGGCCACCATGGTGTAAGAACTATGTAAGCAGAAGCAAAGTGTTATTTCCCTGTAACTCCAAACGACAGCTTTTTTCCTGCAGTAGAATACTCTAGACTGTCTCCTAGAATTAACTACAAGGGCTGAAGGTCACTACTCCCTCAAACTGTCATCCATAACGTGAATATGGACAGACCATGAACTGGAATCAATATTTTCTGGTTGTTCTGAGACAGGATCTTGTGTAGTCCAAGCTGGTCCTGAACTCACTATATAGTCAAGAATGACCTTGAACTCATCCCTCTGACTCCCCTTCCTGAATGCTGGGATTACAGGTTAACTCCAAGGGAAGCAGGACAGAAGAACACAAGGGATCTACGAAAGTGAAATACACTAACTTGCAGAACAAAGCAATTTCTTCCAGTCAAAGAAGCGCCATGCTACTGGGTCTCCTGCAGCAGCTGGGCCTTCTGCAGACAGTGCCTTGAGCATCACTCCAGGTATCAGAGCACACCACTCAAAAATTTGGTCACTGTTTGGGGTCCAGGGCAGTCTGTGGCAGACCTGCTCATGTCCACGCATATCTCTGCATGCCTGCCTAACATGCACAGGAACTGAAATCGCAAGCCTGGCGAGAGTCTGGTGGTGCTCTGAGGAAGCAAGAGCTAACACTCAACAGCCTCTTTTGTGTGAAGCCAGGCTCTGTTAGCACCAATGCAGCATAGATGCCAGCCATGGTGACTGCAAACGTAGGGCAGCTTTACAGTCCTTAGCCCTTTGATGCAAAGTGAGAGTGGGGCTGGAGTGCTGACTGCTAAGCCGAAAATTAAAACGCGACTCAAGCCAGGCAGTCATGTGCCCAGTGACCACATACTACCAACTCAGCTTTCCCTCTGGCCCTGACAGGAAAGACATCTGGCAAGAACAATACATTAAGCACCACCACCGAAATACCCCATAGCAGAGACAGCCCTGGATTAGTCAACACAACTCTAAAGACGCAGCTGTGATAGCAAACAGTAGGAATATCAGCAGAAACCGGGCTCCTGTGAGCCCCACTGTAGGTTTTGCATGGATAGAAAAAGAAGCCTTAACCTTGGGGAGAGTATTTTATAATTCTTGGAGTTTTATCTTTATGGCTAGGGAAACAAACCTGCTTCTCTTCACAGAACAACAAATAACTGCTTCATGGGCTATGGGGCACGCTGGAGCAAGGAAGGGACAGACAGCTAGTATGGATGGAAACAGCCCTTCTGCATAAGCGGTCTCAGGCCAGTGAGGGTACAGGCTGATGTTGATCACCTCGGCACAGGGCAACCAGTCCCAGCTGGATCTGCCTATGGCAAAATCCTAATGTTCCCAAAGCAATGCATACACTACAGGAATAATGATTACAAAACCAAGCTTCTTAGGATGGGGCATGCCTGCAATCCCAGAACCCAGGCAGGCAAGGCAGAAGAACTGTGAGTTCCAGGGCTACACAGTGAGAAGTTTATAAAAAATATATAAAAATAGAAGAAGAAGAAGAAGAAGGAGGAGGAGGAGGAGGAGGAGGAGGAGGAGGAGGAGGAGGAGGAGAAGATGAGGAGGAGGAGGAACAGGAAGAAAGAAAAGACAGAAAGAAAGAAAGAAAGAAAGAAAGAAAGAAAGAAAGAAAGAAAAAGAAAGGGTTAAAACCTCTTTGATTCAGTTTGTCTGCTCTTGGGACTCTTCTTCCTACTGGGTTGTAGTGTTCAATTTTGATATAAAAGTTTTTCATCTTATATTTTATTTTGTCATATTTGGTTGATATCTCTTAGAAGCCTGTTCTTTTCTAATGAGGGACAGAAGGGAGTAGATCTGAAAGGGAGAGGAGGTGGGGAGGAATTGGGAAGAGTGTCGGAGAGGAATTATAATCAGGATATATTGTATGAGAAAATAATCTATTTTCAATTAAAGAAAAAATGCTCAGAACCCTTCCCACCACAGGCTTTCTCTTTTCAAAGGGCAATCACTCTACTGAACAAGTGTCTTCTGCTAGCAAGTGAACTGACATATTTCATCCAAAGGAAGTGACTACAAATATTCATTCATTTGTTAGCAAACATTTCCTGGGATTCTCCTATGTGGTGGACTACTTAGGTGCATGTCCAGCAATCAGCCCTTTAAGTGGAACATGCTGGTAATACCAGGAAGAAGATCACAAAGATACCAAAAGTTTGACCATAATTTACTGCTGTTGGTTTTTGTCTATATCACATATAGCAAATTTATACAAGACAGTTATATAAAAGGGCTTTATATTGCCAAGAAAAACCAGTGTAAAAGAATCTATAAGTGTGTTTGGTTGCTCTCTTCATTTTATGACGCTCTTAGCTGGTTAAACACTAGTACTGGGATAGAGGTAGAAAAAAGTCACGGTGAAGGGCCAGCCTAGGTAGCATCTATGTTTGGAAACGGTCAGTCTGCCTGTAGTGACTAGGCGAGCTGGCGTGATTTTCGTCCTGCCCAGCTCCCGCACGGCTAGCTTTACACCCGAAATAACAATACACAAATTGTATTCTTTTAAACACTGCTTGGCCCATTAGCTCTAGCCTCTTACTGGCTAACTCTCACATCTTGATTAACCCATTTCTATTAATGTGTGTAGCACCACGAGATGGTGGCTTATTGGGAAGATTCTAACCTGTGTCCATCTCGGAGAGGAGAGCTATGGCGTCTGCCTCACTGCCTTCTTCCTCCCAGAATTCTGTTCTGTCTTCCCTGACTATCTATGTTCTGACATATCAGGCCAAGCAGTTTTCTTTATTAATTAACCAATGAAAGCAACAGATAGATAGAAGACACACCTACATCATCTGCCTGACCCTTCATGTGGTGGCAAGCAGCTGGCAAATGTGCTTTTTGCTGACTGGGCAAAGGAAAGTACAGTTGGGCTTCCATTTCCAGAGATTCCATGTCCACAGATTCAACCAACAGTCAACGCAGAACATGGAAAGCATCAACACAAACACATTTTCCTGTCATTATTCTCTAAATAAAAGCCTATTACAGTTATCCGTGTTCAGCATCATAAGGAATCTAGAGGCGATTGACAGCTAGCAGCTCTGAACCCTTTCACAGGATGGACCAGGCATCTGGAGCACTGATGTCTGCACGGTGGATGCTCTGGCAGAAAAATGGAGACCTACTTCCCACTGAGGCTGTGTGCAAATGTGCCCTCAGGGACAACAACTGAACCTGCCATCTCGTCCTTCAACTAGAAGTAGGGCAAGGAAGGAAGGCAGAAGCCAAGAAGATGTCACCCAAGAAAGATCCCAGGGAAGTTGTGCAGAAACGCACCGTCTAGAGCAAATGGCTGTCCCCCTGAGGTGAAAGCAGGGGGGATTCCCAAGGTGCCTGGCTTTGGTGCCTGGGGGCAGGATCAGAATTTGATTTTTGGTGAGGGCTGTTTCTACAGGACAGAGGACTATGAGGGAGGAACGTCACTGTAGTCTACTCTAGAGGCAAATGTTGGCTTCTGTCCTTGTCACAATTTATTCTATTTTAATGTGATTAATACTGACAGTTGCTAATTACTTTTTATGTTCCTTGAGATGACAAAAAGCACATGTAGGATCCAAACTGTGACTTGTCAATCACTAACCACATGACCCCAGACAATTCAGTTTGCCCCTGAAGTGACTGCCAACTCTGAAAGGCAGCGATTACAGTGTGTCCTTTGCTAACGAAGCCATTACAAAAATGCTGTTTATTCCCTCAGTCTTCAACAGCACCATCTAGCCTGTGTGAACACCACTAATGTGGAGTAGGAAGTAAGCAGAGCACATACATAGAGT